AGTTATCCCAAAGCTTTTTAACACCATTCATTGTTACAATCTAACACTTTTTTGATCGCGAACAACATGTTACATCTTTTCCTGTTTTATCTAATATTTTCAGTTTATGTACCAAATCTATCATAGAATCTAGGTAATTGATCTGAAAATCAGTTCCCTCAAATACATTTTTAAATTTGTTAGGATTATTGTTATCAGTAGAATTTAAAACATCAAACAAATTATTAAATTTTTCAATAATTTCTATTGTTCCCAATGCAGCTGATGGAAGAATACCAAGAGAAATATATGTATACATAGAACTTGCAACAGTGTTACTTAAAATTTGAGATGCTAGTTTTACTCGCATTTTTTCAAAAGATGTAGGATATATATGGGAGTGTGTTAGTTTTGGTGCACACTTATAGAACTGCTTTTTATCTTCATGATAAAAAGTTTCTATAAATGACCAAGATGTTTTTTTATCATCAAAATAAAAAACATTATTAATTAAGTTATTTCTAGTGACTTTAACTAAATGACATGGATCAAATATATAAATAATTTTTTGTCCATTGACATCAAATTCTGAGTTAGTTGGAGAAATCCCCAGTAATTTACTCAATTTTAGAAAATTCGTTCCCATATCAGTAACAAGACAATTCACATATAAACCTGATTGAAATAGTTTAGAAATACATTCTTTTATAATAGGAAGAAGATGATTTGCTTCAATGGTAGTGTTTACAAAAAAATATGCTAGTTGTTGTTTCCAATTTGAATATAAGCCTCGAACCATTATCACAAGTACATTTTGTACAATTATTGATTCCTTTTTTCCATTTCCTATATCATATAGACCAACAATCTCATCACGACCTGTATCAAAAAATAAATTACTTTTAATAGACATTTCATCAATACAAATATTACAGTGCTTGTCCTGATCTAACATTGTGTTCACTTTTAACTTTAGGGCATCAAATATTTGGTCATTATTCAAACCAGGTTTACACAGACCAAATTTTCGGTAATTTTTTGAAGACTTCGTCTTGAGGGCAAATACAATATTCTTTCCATAAAAGCATACGCTCTTGGGCCCAAAAAATATAGTGTTAATGCAAATTGTTTATATTCATCAGAATACCTTCTACTTTTTGGACATTTAGTTTTTAAAATTGCTTGAGCTTTCACTATTTGTGCTAGGGATTTGTTTAAAAATTTGTCACACATTTGATTTTAAATATTTATTGTCTTCCTTCTGTTTAGAAGACGCATATGCTTTCTTTGCACTTGCATGCAATTTTTTATTTTCAATCTAAGTTTCCTTTTTCTTGGTGTACCTCCCGACAACTTGGAGGGGGTTTGTGTTGCAGCTGTGAAAAATGGAGCTGGAGTATGGGGCCTAGGTGGGCTAGACACTTCCTGCCTATTAACATCTGAAATATAAAAATATATTTAATAACCATAAACATATAAACGTTCAAAGTAGATATGTTAATGCTTATTAGTGATTAGTTGAATGCATAATACAGTTGTAGCAATAAATAAAATTACCTGTTACCAGAAACTCTTCCATCAAAGTATCAGGTACAGTATTATGGTGTTTATCAGTTGGACTATTAATTACTTCCTGTACATTATAGGTTTCAGTAGTACCTAAAACCACGACATAAATATTACTCAGTATGTAACCATAAGATATATTATGTTCTTAATAAGGCTGATAAAAGATCATTAAATTTCACAATTCCAGATCTTGTTTATATTATGAAAAACAACAAACAACTTTGTATATAGTTGTAAGTAGATACTGATTTTTATATGACTTTTATAATAAAGCACTATAATTGTGAATAAATAAAAAGTATCTACCTTCCAGCCTTATGACTTTCTTTAATGGTTTGTCTGTGTGTTTTGAATATTGGCTGTGTGAGAAAATAGTTGGATGTGCTTGTTGAAATAAATACTTCCGTGTTTCCTTTGTACATTTACACCGGTTCAAAATGTTTCTCGCACATTCTATAATTAGTATGCAATTCAGCATACTTGGAAAGCAGATCATACCTATTGGCCGCTTTCAGCCATAATTCAGCTCTAAAAAAAAAGTGTATTTAACTAAAATATAAACATCCAGACAACATTTGTAATACGTTTGAATTTAAAAATTTAATTTGTTTACCTGCTACGATCAGTCGGTATTGAAAAGAGACTAATTCCTTCCCCAGTTTTCGATGGGCACCCACGAACAACACAATAAAATCCTCCCTTTCGTGCAGCCATCACAATAAGTTTATTACACAAATATATTAAATTAACTAACTAACTAAATAACTAACTAATTATATAACTAAATAACTTCTCAATACAATACAATAACACTTCTCAATATATAAACAAACAAGGCATATCAACACTTGTCAACACTACTAACACTATGGCCGATTTCGCGCATGCGCAAAGAAATTTGGATTGCGAAAAAGCCCTCCGTTTCGCTTCTTGTTGTGATTAGTATTCTGTGGTATACGCTCCATTAGTCTGACGTCACGAGATGGGTGGAGTCAATGCCTGTATCTAAACAAACTTGACAGCCATTTGATTGTTCACAGCGTTTGGTGAATTTTGTTGATTTTTTGAATACCAGTGTGTTTTAAGCTAAAATATTATTTAAATAGTAAGTAATCAAACTCGTTCTATTAAGAGGAATTCAAATTGCTAGGCAAAATTTTGAAATATTACCTTTATTTTTAATATTTACTTTTTTTAGGTTATGTTTACAAGTAGTTAGTTTATACTTTAATTATCCAAAATAACAAATATATTAATAAAAAATTTTATTTACAGTGACTTCAAAGCATGTTTTATCATTTTCTGCCATAGCAGAATTTTTTAAAAACGATATGTCACAGCTGCAAAGAGGAGAAAATTCTTATGAGAGTGGCAATGTTCTCAAATTTATTTTTGATCCTGAGGTTTTCCCAGCCCTACTGAAAGGAGAAGTCAGAGCCAGCATGAAAAACAAAAATTATTCTGTAGAGGTAATTATTTTCCAATATTAAATTTAAAATATAAGATTTTTAATAATATAATAATCTTTAATCAAATGGATTTGCACCCAATCAAAGAAACATTTAAAAAAAGGAGTATAGTAACAGCTTCTTTTAGAATTAAGCCTATAAGCAACATATTAAAAAATACAAATAAAAAACATAACTATAAAATGGCAGAAATTAATGATACAGTATATCATAATTTATTTTAAATCTCTCTAAAATAACTCATAGACTATCAAAATTTAGATCACATCCTTGAAAATATTTTTCAAAGTTACTACAGATTCAGTTTATATAAGACATATCTGAAATGTTTGTTCTACCTCTTGGGTTATAGAATGTTGAACTAGAACATGTAGTCTTCTCTGGTACAACAAAATTAATTTTAAATAATAATTCTGGAATGTAATTTTGTATGCACTTGTCTTCTGTTCGAGAATTTATTAAAAAACTAATCTATTTTCAAGATTTAATGTGGAATTATTTTGACAGTTTAAATAAGTAGCATTATTTTTTTCAGGTTTCCATAGACTACGATGATGGGGTTGTAGATGCTAAATGCAGTTGTCCGAGAGGTCAGGTGGTGTGTCACCATATGGCAGCATTATGTTTACATGCTCACCATAGTATTAGTATTACTGATAAGGCCTGTGCGTGGAACAAAAGGAAAGCTCTTGACACAGAAGTGGTAACTAAAATCAGAGATATTTATAAACCCAAGAAATCTAATTATGTGGCAGTACAGAGGACTGCAAATCAGGAGGAAATTAATAATTTTAAAGAAGAGTTGGGTCACCCAAATCCCACTGGATTTGCTTGGTTGCTAATGGATGAACCTTTACCGGAAGCAAACTTGTTGCCAAGTATTGAGACAATTTTATTTTCCGAAAGATACATGAATGCGTCAGAGAAAGAAGAATTTTTCCTGAAGGAATGTAGGGTGTCACAGTCACTTAGACGCAGCATTCATGATATGACAATTGGGCAGGCCTACAACCAAAATTGGCTGATAGCCAGAAAACATAGACTGACAAGTAGCAAATTTGGTCAAGTCATTGCCGCATGTAATAGAGGCAAATATCCAAAGTCTCTTTTTACAAATTTACTAGAGGGGTATGACCTAAATGGTGTTCAAGCTATAAAGTGGGGCAGAGAAAACGAAAGGTGCGCCTTAAGTAAATTCTCTGAGGTCACTGGTTTAGAAATTGAACCAGCTGGATTTTGCCTTCACGAAAATGGATTTTTGGGAACAAGTCCAGATGGATATGTAAGTGAGAGGTGCATTATTGAAGCAAAATGCCCTTTTAAATATAGGAAGGAGCAAAGCCTTAAAGAAGCTCTAATTAATGAAAACAAATACATAGTATTTTATCAAAATGGAAATTTAGTAGTCAATGAGGATCATGCATACTACCACCAAATACAAGGAGAGTTACACATAACCAAGAGAGATATGTGTTATTTAATTATTTGGGTCCCCAATGATCATTTAATAGTCAGAATTGCAAAAGATGATGATTGGCAAAATAATTTGAATGTTTTACAAACATTTTATTTAAATCATTTTATTAAGTTTCTTACTGGTTAGTTTAAAAAAATAAAAGCTAGTTGTTAAAAATGTGTTTTTATCCCTTAAACCCTTATTTTGTGTACTTTAGAATGGGAAATGGTTCTCACCACCATAAAAATATTAACTTTTTACTGTTAATTGTATTTCACATTTGCAATTTTAAGTAGTACAAAGATGCATTTTTTATTAGTGGTTTACTGTTAAAAGATAAAAAGTGATATTCTAATTCATATTTCCAAGATAAAATTACAGCATAAAACTTAAATTATATCAGAATAGTTTAATATCAGTAAATATTAGCAGCATCAATAATCTTAACTTTTATTACATTTGAAGGGTTCAATTCATAAATCAGTCAAGTCAAATAAAGCAAAATGTTCAGAAGTAAAACATTTTGAGCGAAAACTATGAAATCCTGATAAATTTTGTATTTTCTAACATTTGAAGATCATCTTGTCAACACTATTTTTTTTTAGATAAAAAGTTAAAAAAAAAGTTATGGGTGAAAAATAATTGGACTTGACTGGTTTATGCAAAGTATTCATCTTTTTTTGCGGGAAAAAATAAAACTCCTTATATTACCTGTGTTTGATGGATTCAAAGATTTTCTAGTTGTCCTTTATCGGGATAGAGAAGAAGGATAATAATAAAAGAAAATATATTACAAAAAATTATGTTTCTTTATTTTATATGAACGAATAAAACAATTATCAAATTCTGCCGTTATCTTATCAATCAGCATACAAGAAAATATATGAAATTTTTATAATAATAAGATTTAAATCTACATACATTTATATTAAGTGAAAACCAATTTTACTTAAACTTTACTTGAAACAAAACAAAAACTTTAAACTTTTGATTAGTCAAAAAAACCTCAATTCTCAAATTTGAATGAGCACCTAATCTTCGTCACTGGATGTATGGGTGTCTTCAAAAGGATCACTGACACTTTCTGTATGAGAAGACATTATTTTTCACTTTTTGAGGCACCTTCAGGATATAACTGCTCTACTTCTTTAATTAGGGGATATTGCATATTTGTTAAAGCCCCAATTACCTGGAAGACAGCATCAGCATGAGGCAGTAAGGAATAAGGTATAAAATCCAAGATTTTAAAAATTTTCATCCTTCTAATGGCTCGCTCAACATGAATTCTAGCCCTAGCAATGCACTCAGTCTGTCTAACTTGCTCAGGGGTAAACTGTGCAGTTGTTAAAAAGGGAGGAATGTTAATGTGGACTCCAGATGGCACTATATCTTTAATTAAAAATCCTTTGTCTGCTAAAATTAAATCCCCTGCTTCTAAGTGATCTAGAATTCCACAATCTTTAACAATTTTTTTATCAGATGTTGATCCTGGATATAGGCATGACACAAATGTAACTACTCCATTGGGAGCCACTCCAACTAATCCTTTACATGTATTTCTGTGTTTGTAGGAACTGTATGTAAGTTTTTGGGTTGCCATACTTGCACGAGACACACTGGTATATACTTCAGTACAATCTATTATGATTCTACAGTTTGTAAAACTACTAAAGCAGTTCGGTAAACAAAGTTTGTTTTTATTCCGGGAGGGGATTTTGCCCATCAACTGCTTATAAACCACTTCATGTAAAACATGCACCCATGTTGTAACAATATTGGACACTGTAGCTTGTGCAACACTAAATCGAACAGCAAGATCTTCATGGGGAAAGTTTTGCCTTAACTTCATAAGGGTCATTAATAGTTGATCTATTTTCCTAATTTTTTCTACTTTCCACTCGTAATAATAATTCAATTCAATGTTTTTAAGTAGATCAAAAAGAGAAGTGAAAATTTTCTCTGTAGGTAGGCCAGTATAAAGGAGTATGAGCCTGTCATTACCCCTGATGTTCTCAAAAGAAAACTTCTCTGAAATGTGTTTAAGATCTTCACTCACTTGTTGCAAATTTTGTTTAAGAAAATAGTTTTCTGCATCTACTACGGCCAAACTTTTTGTAGTTACAGATCCCGTTGAGGTAGATGGTTGTGGTTCCTCGACAGATCTATAATAATTGTACTGTATTAGTATAACACACTTATTATATATATATATATATATATATATATATATATATATATATATATATATATATATATATATATATATCAATACATTCCCGGCAAAGTAATGTAACACATTTTTGGTAAAAATCATGTTTTTCAATTTAACTAACGCTATTATTGTTAAAGTTACTACACCAAAGTGTAGTAAGCCTAGAATTACTTTAAACCTTTTTTAGGACAAGTAGGACAAGTTTTTTCACTCATAATTTAATTAAGTTTAACCAGGTTGAATTAAAAAATTATTTTTTCTACAAATCGTTTTTGGTGACTTACGTTACTTTGCCAAAAATGTGTCTATATATATATATATATATATATATATATATATATATATATATATATATATATATATATATATATATATATATATATATATACATCCCACCATCATTTCGAACTCTTTTCACGTTGCAGTAATTTAGCATCACCCAGAAATACTATCATATTCAAATTATAAGTCATGTATATTCGTTTAGTGTATCTTTTTAGGCTTGACATTGTTGTCAGTTTTTTAATATATCGATTTTTTTATATATTTATTTTTTTACACTCAACAGACATTTTAACTCCCTATAGGTCAAATCATTGTGTCTTGCGTCAATACAGAATCACGAGATGTTGCCAAAATATATATATTTATTTGAAACATAGATACATACATATCGATCCGTTTTAGTATAGTTCACCGACCGACATTCAACCTTACAGACCGGTTTTTAGGATTCTCGGATTTATTATTATGGTTTGGTTGTATATTTATTTAGCAGGTAATTTTTCCCAGAGAATTGTGAAAAATTATGAATGAACGATCGAAACGAATTTTGCCGCTGGCAGCAACAGATGAGTAATACTTGTATTATTCTTGTAAAATTGACAAATACGAGAAAAACGTTCGTCTCCAATAAAATATGTTGATGTACAGACGGTTAGTTTTTTAAAATTAGTATTAATTTTTGGTTAAATTTTGTTTGTTTATGTAGAATATAATTTTTTTTTGTTTCAAATTAAATTTAAAATATATTGTATATGCTACCAGTGCACTGTTCATGTTTATTTGTTTTCTATTAAAATAATAAATAACTATGTAAATGTATAATTTTTTATTTACTATAATAAAATTTGTGGAAATGTTGCTTTAAAAGTTAAAAATACTTAAAGAAAAATAAAAAAATAATAATAAAAAACTTTTTACATTAGAATGAATAACTGATACTAATTTGCAGCACCTTCTTCTTCTTCTTCTTTTGGCATCATAACCCTGGACGAGTCTTTGCCTGTCTGGCTATGTCCTTTCATTCAGATCTCTCTTGTGCCCTTCTTCTCCATTGTCTTATGTTGATTGTTTTCAGGTCGTCTTCCACGTCATCCAACCATCTCGTTCTGGGCCTTCCTTTTTTAGCCTTTCTATGGGCTTCCATTGTAACATTTTCTTTGTTGTTTTTGCATCGTTTTGTCTCTGCACATGTCCCAGCCATGACAGTCTTTGACTTTTCACAAATCTTACAATGTCATAATCTTCATTTAACTCATTAACCTCGTCGTTTCTTCTGATTCTCCATGTGCCATCTTCTTCTTGTACCGGACCTTATACTTTCCTCAGTATTTTTCTCTCGAATGTCCTGAGTTGGGCTTCATCTTTTTTCGCCATTACCCAAGTTTCACATCCATAGGTTACTACGGTCTAATCAGTGTTCTGTAGATAGTCATTTTGGTTCTTTTGTCTAATAATTTCGATGTCATCAATCTTTTATTAGCATAGTATGTACGATTCCCGCTGGAAATACGTGCATTAATTTCGCTACTTACGGAGTTTTTCTGATTGATTTCTGTGCCGAGATATGTAAAGGCATCCACTCGTTCGATAGTATAGTTGTCTATTGTGATATTATTTTCATTGTCAGTTATTCTTTTGACTGTCATATACTTCGTTTTTGCTTCGTTTATTTTGAGACCTCTTTTTCTTGCTTCAGGATCAATTTGTTTAAACACTTCCATTAGTCGTGGCTTATTCCTACTAATGATGGCTACATCGTCTGCATATGCAGTAATTTGTACTAATTTGGTGTTTATATGGCCGGTTATATTGGTTTTTCTGATGACTGCCTCAAGAACTTGGTTGAATAGCATGGTTGATAGGGCATCTCCCTGTCTTACTCCCATGTTGATGTTAAACAGGGGAGTCAGTTCTCCATCTACTCTGACTGCGGCTTTTGAACCCTGCAACGTCATTTTTATGAAGCTGATGTATTGCTTAGGTGTACCTAGATTATACAGGTCTTCCAGCATTCTGTCTCTTGTCACACTATCAAAAGATTGTTTAAAGTCTATATACATAGTATATAGGTCCATGTCGTATTCATAAGCTTTTTCTTGTATCGTTCTTAGTATGAATATGTTATCTGTAGTGGCTTTATTTGGTCTGAATCCATTTTGATAATCACCAATTATATTTTCGGAGTATTCTAATAATCTATTGTAGATTATACCAGAAAGAATTTTGTATATTACTTAGCAATGTAATTGGCCTATAATTCTGGCATTCCCTCTTATCTCCTTTTTTATATATTGGCTGTATGAGGCCAACTGTCCATTCCTCTGGCATTTGCTCCTTCGTCCATATTAATGTTATTAGGTAATGGATTCTTTCCCAGAGTTCGGATCCTCCATGCTTTAATAATTCTGCCAAAATTCCGTCCGTTCCTGGTGCTTTATTGTTTTTTACTTTATTTATTATCTGAACTACTTATATAATATTATTCATAACTCGGACTTTCGATGTGCAGCTCCGCCGTATAATATTTTGTCTCGTTCTGATCATTTTCGTTGTCTGCATTTAGATTTTCTTCGAAATATTGTTTCCATCTCATTATAATTTTTTGCTTATTTGTTAGTAGTTCTCGGTCCTTGTCTTTGCATATCGTTAGTTTTGGTCTAAATGACTGTGTGCTTTCTTTTATGCATTGATAGAATTTTCTGCTTTCGCGTCTGTTGTTATGCTTTACGATTCCTTATACTTGTTTTTTCATAGCCTCCTTTTTCTTTCTTCTGCGTATTCTAGTCGCTTGTATTCTTTTTTCGTTATAAATCTCACTGCTATTTCTTGTGTTTCTTTGAAGTTGGTTAAGCCTAGCTTGCCTTTTTTCCTCTACTGCAGTTCTGCATTCATCATCATACCATTCCGCATTTCTTTGCCTTTTGGCAGTTTCCTCTGCTGACTCTGTTATAATTGTTTCTAATTGTCTAAATTCCTCCTCTGCAGTATCTTCCTCTCTAGTTCAGTTGAGTTTTATTTGGAGAGCATTTCTGTAATCTTGTCTCTTTGTTGCGCTTTTGAATTCTTCGACATTCCATTTTTTGATTTGAATATTTTTCCCTTTTGCTACTGTCGCTATTTTCTACCGTAATTTTGCCCCTACAAGATAGTGATCTGAGTCAGAGTTCGCCCCGCAATACGTTCTGACATTAGTTATGTCTGTTGCCCATCTTTTTGAGATGAGTATATGGTCAATTTGATTTGCTTCCTTAGTTCCTGGTATTTTCCATGTTCCTTTATGGATATCTTTTCTCTGAAAGTTAGTACTGACAACTACGTAATTATTTGCTGCTCCGGACTGTGCCACCCTGAGTCCATTTTGACTGGTTTCAGTGTGCAAACTGTGTTTCCCAAATATATTTGCAAACGTTTCTTCTTTCCCCAGTTTAGCATTAAAATCGCCTAACGTTTTAACAGCATCGTGTCTTTGGATTTTATCACATACATCCTGTAGTTCTCCATAGAATCTTTCAACGTCTTCTTCATCAGCCTCTTCCGTCGGTGCATATACATTAACCATTGTCACGTTATGAAATTTACCTTTAAATCTTATGGTGCAAATTCTATCTGATATTGGTTGTAAATGCGATAATGGCTTTCCGCAGTTTTTTGGTTATTATAAACCCTACTCCTCTTTCACCTTGTCTCATTTCATTTCCGGAGTAGTATAGTGAGAATTTATTCTTATGAATTTCTCCCTGGCTCTTCCATCTGATTTCCTGCAGTGCCAATATTTCAACTCCGTATTTTTCAAGTTCTTCTGCCATACTTATCATAGCTCCTGCCTTTAAGAAGGTTCGCACGTTCCGGGTTCTAAATTTTAAATCCATAATCATGTCCATTTTTCTGTGCTGAGTTCGTTGTTATGAGATCCGTCCGTTTGTTTCATTAGCCATTGTATTCGCAACAATTGAGTTCTACAAGGAAGGGTTGTTAACCCTTCGCTCAACCCCCTTTTCATCGGAGGACCAAGGCTCCCTTCTTCGTCTGCCCTGACTCCACCATCCACTGGGGTTGGTTACCCAGTCTCCAGTGGGGTTGCTCAGGTTACCGGTGTGTACCAGCGTGGAGGTGAAGATAGGAATTGAGTAGGAGAGGCTAAGTGATGCCAACAGGATACGACATCATGTATTGCGCTTAACTAGTTTTTCTTAAAACAGTTTTTGGAAAATTTTAATATAAATGGTGGACTACCAGTTTTTTAATAGGTAGGTACTTGGAATTTGGTCCTTAAAGACTCCCATTGACTGAAAGTTTAAAATCGCAAAGGGAAATCTTCTTTTGATATCCACTGTTATATAAGAAATATGTTATATGTTCACATGAATAGTAGCTCAGCATTTGTTCACGTAAGTGTATACCACATTTATTTTTATTATATTAATCAATTAACTCTTTTAAATATCAATCCTCTTCTTGATCTAATTCTATCCCTCTGACAACGAAATTCTGAATATATCATGTATATATCTCGTTTATCTCTGCATTTGGTCACACATATTTCTTCAGGACTGTAAATACTGACCATCTCACGTTGTTTTTAGTTTCTTTGACAAGTAGAGATTGTCTATTCGGTTATTTCTTAATATAGACTATGAGTAATTGTCTAGATTGTCTAGCTTATTGAACACTATTATAGAAGTTATCAGTGGTCAATCTACGTTTATGTTCACATCTAGCTTTTTTAGATGTCGAAAGCATATTATTTACATCTATTTTTTTTACAAATATAATACAATTTACAAAAACAATTTTATAACTCACTTTTACAGAGGTAATTAACAATAAAAACGTACTAATAGAAACTAATAATTTACGATTTTCAATACTATAAGGGTACTTGAGGAACAATACGTTTTCACGTAATAATAGTTCCTGTATAAGTGAAATTGTATTTTAATGTGCTTTATTGAAGCACACTAGACATATTGCAGTTTTACCATCACATGCTCCACAGTATGTTTTAACTATTTTAACTTTTCTATCGGTCTTTCTACTAGTCATGTTCCTTCTTAAACTTTTGTAATATCTTGTACACTTTCTTCTCTTTTTATTACCTACGTCGCTTTGCCTAAGATGGTATTTTTTGGGTGTAACTGGTCGTGAGCGTTCCAACATTTATTTATTTGCAAATGTCTTCGCGAACACCAATCTGAACTCAATGATAGGTTGTCGCTTTTTCGCCTTTTCTATTATTTAACAACTAAGCATTGGCTACTGCGGTATTAAATATTAATTTCACTGCTACTTTCCGGTACCACTTCAGAATTTTGGATATTGGGTTCTGGTAAGAAGCAATTTGATTACTAAAATCAACACTCTTTTTCACCAAGTTATAATCGAGAATAGCTTGTGGTTTTAGCACTTGTGTATAATTTTTCTTTTCACCTGATTAAACCAAGATAAAACTATTATGTTGAAATATTTTAATAATTAAAACTGGTTTTTTGTTGACACATTTTTTCACTTGTGAAATCAATAATGGGGGTAAATTTCATTATAAGTAACCGGTTGCCACTTTTTTAATCAAGATTTTGGTTTTACATTTTTTGTAGTAGACCATATGCACATAAATTCGTTTTTTAAACTATGATTATAATTCATCGACCAATATTCTAATAAAAAAGTGTTTTTGCGTCGTCCGGAATGTTATAAACTGGTTCTCTTTCACAAAGCATACGAAATATGGTTTACATTCTACATTTAGAAAAATCTTTTATAATGCAAGTCTTGTTCGTTTACCTAAACTTAATTAATACACAAAACAAATAATCTATTGTTTTTATAGAAATGCATATTCCTGTCGGATTTGTATCAGTGGGGCATGAGTCACTGGTGTCTCGTATATCAGGACCTCTTATTGCATTACAAACATAGTTCTCAATTAGCAGTGTGGTACAAATTAAAGCCGTAATACTGTTCGTAATACCATAAGACCGTATGTTGTAAATAAATATATCCCTACAAGACTTATCTTGAAAAATAGGAAAAATACAATAAAAAAAAGCAATATCAAAAGGTATTTAAAAATGGCTAGTCATTCATGGGCGTACAGTTAAAAACAAAAATTTTCAGTGTTCTATTGCTTGATTATTATTATCTGGTTGGTATATTTTAAAAATACTAGCTAAGTATTCTGCAAATGTTGACATTTTTTTCTGGTCTGATCTGCCTCAACTAACGTCATTTTTTTTAAATGGTGTATTATTTCATATTCTTAAATGTATATTATATATTTCACGTTCTACGATGCATTCCACGTTTGACACACTGTCTTATTTAATTTTCTGTCATTCTATTTGTTAAATCCTATCCAATTTACGTCACAGCGTCAAGGAGCAGTAAATGTGTGCAGTGAACGGGAGGCATATGTCTAACAGTGAATGTTGGAACTTTTTCGCGTTTATCATATGTACAGTAGTTGACTAAAAGTAGACGTATGCAAATCATATGCTATTCGCTAAATTCTGTCACGTAATATGCCATAGACCTCTGTGGGTTATTATGTTTTATTGCTGCCAGTTTACCGTGATATTACATGCCGCCATGTTTACTTTGTCTCCACCATCGTATTATCTCCATTAAATCTTATCATTTAGGCTCCATATGTCATGATTAGACCTATAGGACAGGAGATACATAACTAAGGCTCTTTTGACATAGCATATATAGGAGCAAATATTTATACCTAAGGTCTTTTTGACGTGTTGCTGTATTTGATCTACGTCGTAGCATTCTATTGGTTAAATGATATCATTTGAGGTACTGTATGTCACGATTGGACTAATAGGATAGAAGATACATAACTAGGCCCTTTCACGATTGGACTAACAGGACCGCGGATGCATAACTAAGGCCCTTTTGACAGGCTGATGTATGCTGTATTTTATTTTTCTGTCTCATAGTATTTGATTGGTTAAATCCTATCATTTGAGGTACTGTACGTCACGATTGTGCCACTACAAACGAAGATATGTAAATAGGGCCCTTTTGACATGTTGCTGTATTTGATTTCTAAGTCATTGTATTCTATTAGTTAAGTGCTACCATTTGCTATATCGTACGTGACGATTGGACTAATAGGACCGAAGATACATAACTAAGGCCCTTTTGACATGCTACTCCATTTAATTTTTATACCTTATTGTATTTTATTAGCTAAAACCTTTCATTTGAGGTGCTGCACGTCATGATTAGAATAATAGACCGGAAGATACACAACTAAGGCCCTTTTGGCATGTTGCTGTATCCGATTTATCTATTTCATTGTTTTCCATTGGTTAAATCCTATCATTTGAGATACAGTACGTCACGATTGGACTTATAGAAACGAAGATATATAACTAAGGCCTTTTTGACATGCTGCTGTATTTGATTTTTCTGTCTTATTGTATTTTATTGGTTAAATCCTATCATTTGAGATACTGTACGTCACGACTGGACCAATTGGAGCGAAGATACATGATGCCAGAATGATTTATGGATGAAAAAAATATATATATTTTTAAATTTACTATTTCGTTGTGGGTAATATTATATTCAACAGCGATGCCAAATTTCTGATGCTAAAATGATTGATAATGAAAGTTGGATATACATTTTTATGTATATAATGACATCGAGTAAACGGTAAAACCCTGAACTAAATATATATAATATTTTCACCGTACCATCATTTTAGACTCAAACATTTTCTGGAATAAACTTATATAACTCAGTAAGGGATAAAAAGAGAAAGCCGATATTTTAAAATACCAACACGGTATCAAATCTCTAATCAGTGAGATGGTTAAAATTCTTGTAACAAGTACAGAAAAAAAGTTACATAGGTGTTGTAAAGTAGCGTCGATATACAGATGCTACTTTGCAAGACGATGCTAAATTGATGGTAAAAGCATAATGTATCGATGCCAAAATGATAGTAGGATGTATATATATATATATATATATATATATATATATATATATATATATATATATATATATCCAGTTAAAAGATGTTCCCACATATGGGAACATATTTTAACAAATAAGTACCTCCAGTCCTAACCTTCTGCACTCTTTCTCTGTCAAGTAGGAGTGGAGGAAAAGGCATGCTTGTGAGGAAAACCCATACTCAGCTAATCTATCTACCAATATGTCATGATTATATAATACATATTATAAGGAGAAGTAATTTAAAAGAATATATATTATACATTAATACCTTGCATCATGCATTAGGACATCCTCAATGATTCCAGTAACAGATGTTTCAGTAACTTCTTTCTTTACTCTAGTTCTTTTCTCCGGGGTTGGAAACTTTTTTGCTTTTCCTTCATTATGTTGGAATAATGTAGGCCTATTCTCTTTTTTTCCATCTACAAAATGACAACTGCACAGGAAAGACCCAGGACCTGGTTCTACTGTTCTTCTGTAAAATAGCATATGCAAAAGAATGATATATAGTACATTATTACCAAAAACAAAATACTCTATTTGCTCATTTTCAAATTTAACTCACCTTGTCAGTTTTATCCATAGATTCCTTGTTTTTGTATCCTTTGGAAAACGATAAAATTTACATTTTTCTCGTACATTGTAATGATTACAATTGGGTGCCCAACACATTACCATTTTTCCTACAAAGAAAACATTTAGAATAAAATACACTTTATTTATTAATTATTACAAAAACAATTTCATTTTAAAGCTATATAAACAAGGATTGTTTTGTGGAATTTAATGACTTGTTTGCAAATTGGCTTCTTCAGTACAATTTATCTTTAAATATACATTCATTTTACATACCTTGTAGCGGAAAACTAGTGTTATTTTCAACAAAAATGCACAAAATCGATGTATTAAAAATCTGCTTATGGCAATCAGAATAGAACACTTGCTTTGTTTGGATACAGGACCATAACCTATCTCAACGTGTGACGTCACCACTAATGGAGCGTATTGGTATTACTAAAAACAATAGGTACATTACCGCTCTAAAAATTCTTGATGAGTTTAAAGATTATTTTATATCTCCAAATAAGAGTATAGAATTAAAATAAATTATTACAACCAAATTATTTATTATTTCTATCTTCCATTACAGCCTGTTGAATATATTCAAAAATTGTGGTTTCCAATTTAGTTTTAATATTGGGACATTTTATTTCTTTAATTTTTACACCACAGTATATTTTAAAAAATAATCAGTAGCATCTGGCTTGGGGCCCCCAGGTACCGCAGTTCTATTTTTATAGGTGTTAAAATTTCGACCAATTATGTGCCGAATCACATACAATTTCTGATAAAACGCAGCCATATTAATACTTTTTGCCTCAGTTTTCGTTGCAACAATCAAACAAAACAACACCGCCTAACCTAAACTGAACCTAACCTCGCTTCTCTCAGTCCCGCTAGTAATGTCAGATAAATTTCGACTCGAAATTAAATTTCAACCACTTTCTTGAAGTTGAAATTAATTTCGATAAATCGAAATTTAGTGACGTCCTTTGGTTAGTTCAGCTGAAATCCACTAGGCTCGCAAAGTCGCATTTCGACGTCGCCATATTGATTTCAACATATTTTCAGTCGAAATCTCAATTAGAATCAGGGCCCATATCATGGTATCATAAATTGCATGTTGAAAATGTTTTAATTGATTTTAAATTAGACACAGGATCTGATGTGAATCTCATTCCTGAAAATATCTTTAGATTAATTAGTCAACAGTCAGAACAACAGTTAGTTTTGAACAATAAAAGTAAGGTTAAACTACATGCTTATAATGGTACATCAATAAATGTGTTAGGAGACATAACATTAAATGTTACAGTACAAAATGAAAAGTATAGTGTGGAATTTATAATTGTTAATAATAATTTCACTCCAATTATAGGTCTTGAAATGTGTATTAAGCTAAAGTTGATTAAAAAATCTAATGGTATACAGGAATGCTCAGAGATTGTAATAACTAAAAATAATGTTATGAATCAGTATAATGATATATTTAGCGGAATTGTTAAATTTTCTAAAAAATATTGTATTAAGTTGAAAGCCAATGCAATTCCTTGTTCTAACCCACCACATAGAGTACCTTTAAAAATAAAGGATAAACTAAAACATGAATTAGACAGATTGTGTAAATTAGATATAATATGCAAAGCAGATGGACCAATTGAATGGGTTAACAGTTTGGTTATTGTTGAAAAGCCAAATGGAAGCCTGCGTCTTTGTCTTGATCCTAAATATTTAAATGAGTGTATTGTTAAAGATTATTTTGAAATTCCAAAGCTTGAGGACCTAGCTTGTAAGTTAAAAAATGCTAAATACTTTAGTGTGTTGGATTTAAAAGATTCATTTTGGAATATACCTTTGGATGAAAACAGTTCAAAGTATTGTACATTTTCAACACCCTTTGGGTTATATTCTTTCAAACGTTTACCGTTTGGTCTTAATATTTCGGCAGAGGTTTTCCAAAAATATTTGTCTGAGAACTTTCAGGATATTAACGGTGTTAATATATACATAGATGATTTGTTAATATTTGCAGATTCAATTGAGGCTCATAATGTAATTTTAAAAAATGTTTTAGACAGGGCTAGGCAAATAAACATTAAATTTAACAAAGAAAAATTTCAATTTTTGTTAACTGAGGTTAAGTATTTGGGTCATACTTTTAGTAATGGTGAAGTAAAACCAGACAATGAAAAAATTAGGGCTATTAGTGAATATGATACACCAACTGATAAAAAAGCCCTACGGAGATTTTTAGGCGTAATTAATTATTTACGAAATTTTATACCAAATTTAGCTGAAAAAACCTATCCGCTAAGGTTATTGTTAAAAAAGGACACTGAATTCAGATGGGAAAAATCAGTACATAGTAAGGTTTTTGATGAACTGAAATTGTTAATATGTAGTGCACCAGTTCTAAAGAATTATGATCCTGATTCTGACATAATTGTTCAAACTGATAGTAGCAGAACAACCATTGGTTGTGTCTTAATTCAAAACGGTCACCCAGTAAGTTATGCTTCAAAAAGTTTATCAGAATGTGAGACTAACTATGGACAGATAGACAAGGAGTTTATGGCCATTTTGTTTGCTTTAAAAAAGTTCCACAACTATGTATATGGACGAACAATTACTGTGCAGACAGACCATAAACCCTTAGTATCTTTAATGAAAAAAGACATTAGTAAAATAAGTTCAAATAGATTACAGAGAATTAGATTAAAATTAAGTATTTATGATGTTAATTTGATATATGTGCCTGGTAATCAAATGCTGATTGCAGATGCTATTAGTAGGGCCTCTTCAAAAGCAAAACAAGAAGCAACAGATATGTCTCTAAATAATATAGTTCATTCAGTTAATGTATCCACTGAAATTACAGAAAAAATCAAAGTATGTATAACAAAAGACCCAGTTTTGAATACTGTCAAAGAATTCTGTTTAAATGGTTGGCCAAAGTCATTTTCAAAGTGTTCAAATGAGTTAAAATATTATTATCAATCAAAAGATTTAATCTTTGTTGAGAATAACTTATTATTCCTAGATAATAAAATAATAGTACCAGCAGAATTAACTAAAATAATAATACAAAAAGTTCATAAAACCCATTTTGGTATAAAAAAAACAAGAGCTAGAGCAAAATCATTATTCTATTGGCCTAAAATGGAAAATGAAATAGAACAATATGTAACAAATTGTCCAATATGTAAAAAGTTTAGTAATAAAAATCCTAAAGAACCCATGATCATTGAACCATTAAGTAAATATCCTTTTCAAAAGGTTGGCACAGATTTTTTAGAATTTGCAGGTGAATCTTATTTAGTAGTTGTTGACTATTACTCAAAGTGGTTAGAAATAATTAAAACAAAACATAAAGATTCTAAAACTGTAATTTTAATTTTGAAACAAATATTCTCAACTCATGGTATTCCTGAGGTGGTACGTGCAGACAATATGCCATTTGCATCTTTTGAATTTAACAATTTTGCAAAAGCTTGGAATTTTGAAATTGTGACATCAAGTCCATAATATGCTAGAGGAAATGCAATGGCTGAAAAAGCAGTTAATATAGCAAAAAATTTACTTAAAAGAAGTAAAGAGGAAAATTTTGATATAAAATTATTATTATTAGAGTACAGAAACACTCCAGTATTAAACTCATTGTATAGTCCATCCCAACTTCTTTTAAGCAGACAAACTAGAACTGTGATGTGGGTATTAGTAAAATAGTTAGGTAATGACTGTGAATATTGATTTATAGGATTTTATTAAAAGAAAACCATGTGTTATAATTTTAACCTACATCTTACAACAACACATATCTATCTGTCTCTTGTCACCGTTCACTCTCGGTGGACACTGTCATGGTTACTTGGTGGTATTCAGCCACGGAGCGGTGTGGCTGTTACATCCTCCCCCTTTGCACCACCCTGGCGACTCGCGGGTGGGGCAACAGAGTCTAAGCAGGAATAGAGCTCTACAGGACAGCAATGACAACGTTTTGGTCGGGGTTGTCTACGTCTGGCGATATGGTCAGGTGCAGGTTCAGCTTCGATATGAGCAAGGTCATCTCCAACATGGGGCTCATTTCGCTATCGTCTAACCCAAGGGTCAAAGACTCTTGGCAGGAGACCAGTGGAGCAGGAGGGTCGGCTTCTGAGGATTTCACTGGACGACCTCTTCTACGGAGAGGTTGAACTGGAGCAGGGCACGGATCTTCTGGATCGGCATGGAAAGGCGTCAAGGCTGAGACATGATATTTCCCAGCAGGAACATCTGGAGTGTCGATGTGTGAAACTTCGTAGGTTGTAGGGGACAGCATTTTGGTCACCTTGTAGGGTCCGTCGCGACGCGGCGCGAACTTCGAAGTTATCGACTTAGACGCGTCACTTAGTGTATGCGAATCGACTAACACAATATCACCTACTTCGAACGAAACCGAGCGGCGGTGGCAGTCTTTATACTTCTTACGTCTATCTTGAGATTGTTCATGTGTCTCGCGGGCTTCACTAAGAGCGTTACTCAAAGTTATTAGATAGGGCGTGATTTGTGGCACGAAGTTGTCCTTGGCTATGATGCTTCTAAAATCACGATTTGCATCATCAGGAGTTCGTAACTCGCGACCGAACGTGAGGTACGCAGGCGTGAAACCGGTTGAATCGCACTTCACAGTGTTCATCGCGAACCGTATAGCGGGTAACTTTTCAGACCAAGACGGATGGTCATTATTTGTTAGAATAGCTAACTGAGTTTTAATGTCTCTATTCTTTCGTTCGACGGGATTAGCTTCCGGGTGGTATACAGGTATAAGGTTCTGTTGGTACCCAAAACAATGCGCCACTTGCTGCATTACCGCACTCACGAACTGAGTACCGTTGTCACTGATGACTCGACGAGGGATTCCGTATCGTAAGATTATGTTGTCTATGAAACACTTGGCGCAGGCAGCGGCAGTAGCAGATTCTAGCGGGAATAATTCTACCCAACGACTAGCAGTGTCTTCCACTACCAGAATCCATGTATAACCTTGAGGAGAGAGGGGCAAAGGCCCAAATAAATCAATAGATAGCACTTCAAACCTCTGGGACTGAACAGGGGTTTGTAGGAGACCAGCGGGTTTGAGGTTAGAGACTTTATAGCGTTGGCACTCAAGACATTTACTTACATGGTCAGAGATAATTTTCTTCATTCCAGGCCAATAGTAGCGTTTTATTATTCTTTGATATGTCTTCTCCACTCCATAATGACCAGCAGTAGCGGAATCATGGTACTCATGCAGTATGTGAGGAATACGTGTACTAGCCACTACCAATTGGGGCTCTTCTTCATCTACTTCAGGAGTATAACGGTATAATATCCCATTGTTCATGATATATCCTCTTTCTGCCCACCTCTTAAAATCTACGCTTGTGTCAGAAGAGGGATCTTCTAAACATCTAATAATCTTGGCAACATCTGG